TTTCAAATCTATGTTTTATATCTTGCAAAGAATTTAGTGTAATGCCTTGTTGAACAATTATAAAGCCATGTTCTACAAACACTGTCCAAGTGACCAAGCAAGATTTAAACATAAAACATTATATGTATTATATGTATATATATTTATATATATAATTCAGAAGAAGATTTCTAATAAAATTTAAAACATTTTAAAAATATTATATATCTCCTATTATTGGTTTCAATTCTTGTTATGTAAGATATTTAAGGAATACAGACTCTATCTTTGTCAATAAATTGATATGAGTGGCAGATGTGGTATGAACAACAACGAAGTTGCACCATCCATTAAACCATTAATTGGGTCTGTTTTAATTTCAACATTATTGTGAAAATACTGGCGTAGGTAAAATTGGTGTTGTTGATAAAGGTACTTTCAAAGTCAATGATGATGGTGATGGTGCAGATAACAGTGAAAAATTGCAATAATAATAATAATAAAGCAAAAACATATAAAAATATATGAATACATTATATGAGTAGAATATACATACTGTTCTTTTTGAAATTATGGCAAAGTTGAAATTCCATTCCTTTAAATTCACCAATTCTAAACCAACGATCTCAATTGTTTATTGAATTTCTACAAATGTTTGTCCATGATATTACCTCGTCCAATTGAATAGATATTTATTTTGCATATCATTCAATAATATACAAAAATCACAATTTCTAAATATCAATGCTATCAAGGTGTACGCCGTTAGGTATAATTTCCATTTTCTCAAATTTATTGTAGTGTCATTATTGATCGTCTTTAAATTATTTGTGATGGATGAATTCAATGTTCTAATTGCTGCTGATGATAAAGTTGGTTGTAATGTGATAGAGCAATTCCTTCCTGATTTAATTATTATATTATATGTTTAGTAAATTATTATTATTATCAATATCATCATCATAATCATTACTCTTTCCATGATCTATTTTCTATATTCTTCTGCTCAGAAAAATATTGCTAACTTGATTTTACACTCCTTCCGTTTTTTAATTTCACCTATTTTGACTTTATATGGTCATACCTCTTTTATATCCCGTGGGATATAACTAAGGTGAGATATATAACTGAGGAAATCAAACGTACGTACGTGGGATAAAAATAATAACATTAATAATAACAATTATTTATTATATAGTGTGAAGAAACAAATTTTGATTTTTATAGATATAATTTATCCATCCACCTAAACAAATATACAAATGCACAAAAGCCTAAATATTATATATACATTTAATCAACTAATCAATCGATACAAATTAAAAAAGAAAAAAGTAATTAACGGTATCAATAGTAATAAGAAATTATAATAATAAAAATAATAATATTACTGTTTTTTGGTGATTATAAACACTTCATAATCATGAACATTAATAAAATCTAGGCATATATTATCTTCATAATAGAAATCAGTATTGCACTTTGAATCTTTTAAACCGTCACCTATTGTGAAATCGTCAGCTCCAAAGCTTGGGCCTGTTCCTGAATACTGATATATTGCTTTTGAGCTACAATAAGGTAACACCCTACTTAAATTTTTTATTGATAAATCTTCATTGAAATTAAAGATAAAGCTGTTATCACAACTTGAATATGTTCCGTTGGATTCAACCCATCCAACTATTAAAAAAAAAATTTTTAAGGGGAATAATAATTAAAAATATGTAAACAAAAATAAACTAAAAATAAAAAAGATCTACTCATCAATTACCAGGATTGTAGCCACCAATAATATCAGCTTCCTGATCCAATATTTTAGACACAATAACACATCTACCTTTACTATCACACCATTTATGAAAATTATAAGCACTATAACCATCTCGACTTGCTCTATAAATCAATTTCCATTCATATTCCATATAACAAGACTTTGTATTATGATTTTCTTTATATTTAATATAACTTTCAATCAACGACGCAGCATAATTGTTAATGTATAATGAGTCGATTTGTGGTTGAGGTGGTAAGGCACGAGGTGATAATGGTGTCAATGATTCTTCCTTGGTTTTCTGGTGACCACTACCCAAAAAATGCAAAGTCAACTGTTTTCTCAATTGTTTAGGCAACAATTTTTTATAAGGAAAGACATTTTGAGAGTATTCATGCCTTTCCATTGCGGTAAAACGGATGAGACAAACCAAATTTTTAATTTGCAAGTGCAACTCCTCAAAATCGTCAATTGTCCATTTATCAAGATCGTCATCATACAATCTACTAGAATTAGCCATTCCCCAATTTATCAAAAAATCCCATAACTCAACTTCTTGAACATTCAAACCATCACATTTCAAGATAAACTCAACAGTCGAATGCTCCAATGTCAAAAAATCATCTGATTCGATGTACTGAGACAGATTATGGCTAACTATTTCTAATAAATGGTCTTGTAACTTGTTACATGATTTAAGTTTTACAGCTAGTTGAAAAACAATTGCCATTTTATCCTCAAGATCGGTAGACTTATATTTAAGAAGATAATGCTCGATCACATCAATCAATTCGTCAAGCAATAATTCATCAGCTATTAATAAAAGATCCAAAATGTTTGATAATTGTAAAAGTGTTAAATCAATTACACCTGTGTAAATATATCTAAGTAATTAAATAATTAATGATTAGATCAATTATAATTATGATTATGTCCATTATGAATAATGTTATTATGATCGTTATTTGTTTTTTTCTTACTCTAATATCATTTCAAATAGATAAGGTGAAACATTTGGTTTCCTATAAAATAATTTATTACCACTATCTTCATTACTGCCCGCAACTTCCTTTTCTTTTATCTTCACTTCTTGTTGTTGAGCCCAATTTTGTGACAAAGCAGTGACAAAATATTCAGACCGTGCACAAAGAATTATCGAATGAGCTTTAAATTCTTTGACATTTTGACCATCACCAGCTAAAATTATTGTATCATAATTTTTTCCTGCTTTACGAAGCTTGTTTAAATCTTTAGATAATCGAGAGAAACATTTCCATTTCATTGTTACTTATTACACGCATAGGACAAATAAATATAATTTTTGTAACAAAATCGATTGTCGATCTTTTTTATATTGTGTGATTCAATTGATTTTTAAAATAGAAAAAAAAACAAGCCATAAATGATTAAAAAATTGTAAACTATAATATTTTACCTTCAAACATTGTTCCAACTATAATCATTTCATTTTCTTATATTTCGACTAGAGAAAGAAGTAACTTTAAAGCAGTAATTATATTAATAATAATAGTAATAATAACAATTTGTTTTTTTTTTGATTGAGTTTATCATTTACCATTATCATTGAATTATTTTTTATCTTGACACTTTAATTGCATGTTGCATTTTTCTATATCATGCCATAATTAATCAATGGATTAATCATATATATATATATTGATTATAAATCCAGCAGAACGACCTTCGTTAAATACAGTTCTCATACCAAATACAATTATAACTTCTTTAGAAATTCCAGCATATTCAAAATCTTTCTTTGAATTTCATTTCTTGATAAGTTGGTTTGTTTTGATGTAAGACATCAACTGCCATTTGTTTATGATGCATTGAAGTATTTATAAAAAATCTCTAATTCTGACAGTGATTGGATTATCGTCAACCTCCTTTTTTATGTCTTATTATATTTTTTTATATTTTAAAAAACAAACATTTTGTTTAATATCTTTAACATTAGGTTTTTTATTTTTATCTTTCTTTTCAACAGTGGTTGGATTATCATATATTATAAATAAATGAATAGGCACACAATAATGTATTATTTTATTTTAAAATCAACTTTTGAATTATTTTTAATTTTTTATTGTTGTCAAAGTTGAAAAAGAAAAAGGAAAAAAAAAAAAGAAAAGAGAAATATAAAACGCGATATTTTTTAATTTGGAATTTGTAATTACATAATACGCTAAATAAACAATAAAATTTTTAGGGTAAGCTCCACAAGGTTACAATTACCATTACTGGCTGGATAGTTTTCACAGAAAATGTCTACCCTGCATTGATTGAGCCAAACCATGCATGAGTTAACGCCATTTGATTTGACCCTTAACTTGTTACATCGAGTGCAGATGACTTTTGGAGCAACGAGGAGATTTTAACACTTTCAATTTCATCAGTAACAATGGTTTTGCTGATGTTGCTGCGATTGGAACTGCCGAAGGTGTATTGGACCTTGCTAGAATTGGGGCTGCTGTTAAATGTAGTATTGGAAATATATGTCCGTATCTTTATAAAAAATCTATTTTTCTAATTATTTCATTTTTTCATTTTTAAATGATAAGGTATAAAATAACAATCCCGTTGGAAATTAATTAAAGAAATCAATATTTAAAAAACAATTTTTTATTTTTATTTCTGTTTCTACAAAATCAAAACTCGTCCGCTACAGTGAATCTTGTTATTGTAAATAAAATTCAAAGGAAACTAACTTTCTGGTCTTCGCTTGAGAAAACAAATACAAAATTGACATTCTAATAAAATACAATAACTCCCACCGTATAAATAAAGCTTGTGTTAAATTAACCTCAAAATTGCTAATAATAAACTTTGTATAAATATTTTTCTCGATTGTACGGTAAAATTGCTTTAGTAAAAGCCATAGCTGTGCGTGTATAGTACTAACATTGATTAACCACGGCATCAATTAACGAATAACTTAAAAGTGTTAATATTAACCAGATCAATTATTGTCGTAAAAGTAAAGCTTTTAAACAAACTGATAAGGAAGGGTTTTGTAAATAAACCAAAACGAGTTTGCAATCAGCCAATAAGTGTAAAAGACTGAAATAAATCAGTCATAAGTAAACAGAGGAGCTTTATGGGAGCCTTGGAGCTTAAAGATACATTTCACGATTTTCTTTATTGTTTTAATAAAAAAAAATAAAGATGAAATAATTCATAAAATTACATTAATAAAAAGAAAAGAAAAAATAATAATTAATAATGGGAATGGAGAATGAGTGAATGAATTAATGAATCGATGAATGAATATTAATGAATGAAATGATTTATATACAATTAACCAATTAATAACAAAAAAATAAAAATAAATGTTATGTACAAATAAAATTATTTTATTTGATTTTTTTTTTTTTATTAGAAAGTTTTCTTTTTAATTTTCTTTTCTTGAGATTATTTGAAGAAGTTGAGGAAGATGGTGAAGGTGTTGTTGATGTTACAATTGTAGAAGTTGCGAAGGCTGGGTCAGAAGGCGATGATGATGGTGAAGTTGATGGTGAAGTGAGTATAGGGGTTGATGAATTAGAAGCAACTGCATTACAAGTTTTACAACAAATTCTGTTTCCTGAGCAATCATAAGTAACCTTACAACAATTTATAAGATCATTTTCTATTCTTTTCTCAGGAATACCACCAGTTTCGCATCTCCTACAACACAAGCTCTTTCCACCACATGACAACACCCTGTTGCAACAAGTTCTTTTTTCTGTTCTTTTCATAACTAAAAAAAATAACAACTTAATCTGTTAACCATTTTAATCAGTAATATCATTCATCAATCAATGAAATTCATTTAATCCTTACTATTGAATGAACCCTTCCTTTTACTGATACTATATTCATTGTCATCATTTAACTCTGTTGAATTAATTATTTCAACAAAATAGAAAATCAACATTAAAAAAATCAATATTTTCATTTTCAAAAATTTTTTTTAATAAACCTTGTCAAAAATTTTATTCATAAATTTTTCATAAAAGACAAGATTTATTGTCGTTAAAGAAAAAATTTTCATAAAAAAATGAAAATACATTCATTTGAAAATGAAAAAAAAAAATAGTTATATTTATATATTATATATTTATATTTATATTTATTATTGTTATTTATAAAATAACTATATATATATATATTAAACACATTTTCTCCTGAATCCTTCCCACTTCGTTTTTTTTTTTTTTTTGGAATTGCTAATCTAAAATTCTATTCCAAAAAAAATCGTGGATTCACAACATATTTCTCATTTGGCGCAATTCCAAATTCTCAAATTTTGATGATTTTAACTAGTACTATCTTAAAAAATTTTTACAAACAAAAAAAACTTGAAAATATAAAGTTTTGTATCAAATTTTTTTCGTTAAAAACTTTGAATGATAAAATGGAAGACGATTATACTGATATTCCAAAGGTTCAAGGTGCTGATTTAGATGACAATAAATTAGATATATTTCGTAGTTTTGCAGCTTCAATCATTGCGGAATTTTCTGGGAAATCAGCTAATGATATTTTAAGTTTATTGGAGGCACCTAAAAGTTCTGAACATGGTGACATTGCAATTGCAATTCCAAAACTGCGTATTAAAGGAAATCCTACACTAATCGCTAAAGAATGGGCTGAAAAGGTGCTCTCCCTTTTTTTCAACATCTCAAACTAGCATTTATTTTACTAATGGATTTTTAAATGGCTTATATATAAAGTTTATTCCAAATAAATTTATAGTTGGAGTATTTCCCATTAGTCATTATTTAAATTTCAAGATTTCAAAACCTCTTCTTACTAAAATTATCCTTGAGGATGTATATAAAAAGAAAGAAAAATATGGTACCAACAAATCTGGTGTGGGTAAAACTGCAGTGTTAGATTATAGTAGTCCAAATATAGCAAAACCATTTCATGCTGGCCATTTGAGAAGCACAATTATTGGTAATTTTATTAAAAATGTACATAATGCTCATGGATGGAAAACAATTGGTATTAATTATCTTGGTGATTGGGGTAAACAATATGGTGAGTTTGCTTATTTTCTATATATATATATTTCTATATACAAATTTATTTGATTATTTCTGTTTGATTCCTTTGATAAAAATGTAATTAATAATCTTAAAATAGGACTTTTGGCTGTCGGATTTGAGAAATATGGGTCTGAACAGAAATTAATTGATAATCCAATCAAACATTTATATGATGTATATGTTAAAATTAATGTAGGTATATTAACAACCATCTATAATATTCATTTTTTACCACCACATACCCATCTGTTTCTTTCATGTTAAAGACTTTACTATAAATTTGTAGGCTGATATTAAAGAAGATCCAAGTGTAGATGATCAAGCTCGCTCATATTTTAAGAAAATGGAAGATGGTGTGTGTGTGCGCGCGCGCGCATGTTTAATAAATTGAGAATTGCTATTTCTCACCGGTGGTGATTGTCACCACCTAAGGAATTAAATTTGCGTGGGGCGGAGTTAGGGTTGGGTTAATCATAAATTGCATAATTCCTTAGGTGGTGACAATCACCACCGGTGAGAAATAGCAATACCCTAATAAATTTATAAATATTTTATTTATTATTATTGTCATTGTTATTATTATTATAATATATAGGTGATGAACTTGCACTTGCTTTATGGAAAAAATTTAGAAATCTTAGTATTGAAAAATACAAACAGACCTATGCACGTTTGAATATAGATTTCGATATTTACTCTGGTGAATCTCAAGTGAAAAATGAGAGCATAACACAGGCATTATCTGCCATGAAAGAAAAAAATATTCTTGAAGAATCAGACGGAGCACTTATTGCTGATCTAAAAAAATACAAGTCAGATATTGCATTGATACAGAAGAATGATGGTACTACTCTGTATATTACCAGGGATATTGGTGCTGCAATTGAACGTTATGAAAAATACAAATTTGATGTAATGTATTATGTTGTAGCATCTCAACAAGATTTACATTTTAAACAACTTTTCAAACTATTGGAATTGATAGGAGTTGAATGGGCTAATAAGTGTAGACATATAAATTTTGGTATAATTAATGGAATGAGTACTCGTAAAGGCACTGCTGTATTTTTGGATGAAATACTAAATCAAACCAAAGAAAGCATGCATGAGGTGATGAAACAAAATGAGAATAAATATTCACAAATTGATGAACCTGATAAAGTAGCTGATGTAATTGGTATCTCTGCTGTAATGATACAAGATATGTCAGCTAAAAGGTAATAATCATAGCATTAAAATATTAATGGGATTGCTTATTATTATTATTATTGTTATGTTTATTATTTGGTTTAATTTTATATCATTTAGAATTCGTAATTACTCGTTTGATTGGAGTCGTATGTTTTCATTTGAAGGTATTTAAGCAAATATAAAAATCAACGTTTACATACATGTATATATCTAGTGTTATAATTTAACTAATCTATATTTATTTAAAATTTTTTTTTTTCCAAATATACAGGTGATACTGGACCTTATCTTCAATATGCTCACGCTCGACTTTGTTCAATTGAACGAAATTGCGGCCTAACAGTAAATCCTTCAGCCAACATTGATCTTCTATCAGAAGAAATAGCGTCAGTTCTTATGGAAATGGTTGCACAATATCCCGATGTAGTTAAGAGTGCTTTACATACATTAGAACCTTGTACAGTTGTGACATATGCTATGAAGTTAAGTCACACGGTATCAATGGCTTTAGAAAGTTTATGGGTTGTTGGAAAAGAACATGAATTAGCAGAGGCTAGGTTATTAATGTATTGGGCAACTAGAATAACGCTTGGAAACGCACTTAAATTACTTGGTTTGAAACCTTTGGAAAGAATGTAACTAACATAGGATCAATTTATTAATTTATCAATAAATATTTAAAATTTGAAAATATTTTCAATCAATAGAACGCTTGACACTAGTAATTGTTTTTGTTGGATTATTCTTTTTTTAAAAAAAAATTTTTTGATGACGATGAATTTTATTAGATGAAAAATATTTTAGATTAATTATTAGATGGCCATTGTAAGTCTACTTCCAACACGTCTAATTCAAAAATATCAACAGTACAATCAAGTATATCTCCTAAGCTTGGTTTAGTTCTACCTAAATCACCATGAATGAATTCTTTGATGTAGCTATTTAAATATTAATACAAGTATATATTGTGGTGATGCAAATTAAGGAATAAGTGATATTAGGAATAAACATTTAGAAAATTGTTAAAAGGCAGATTTATATTTATACAGGATACGTTCCAGCTTCTGTTTTTAGATTTAATACTAAAAAATGATCATTCAATTGTTTTGCCGCAAGCGAGTAAATGGTTTTGGTACGAATTAATTGTGCGCGTCTATTAGATATATATGTATATATATATATTAGTTTAATTTTTGAATTAAGCGAAAGAAATAAATAAAAAATAAAAAATTTGTAAAACCTCTGTAAAACTCTAATTGGTGTTTGTTGTTCAATTGTGAAACTAGTGTCATTGTAATGATTGAGTTGAGAAATTAACTCTGGAGTAATTTGTTTAGAAACCCAGATAAGTGAACTTTTCTCCCCCAAAAAAAATAATTAAAAAATATTCTTTATTATTAAATCACAACAAATCAATAACAATATATTATAAAAACCTGTATGTTTTTGTTTTTGCTTCTTCACCTTGTTTAATTATGTTAATATCTTGCCTTAAATATAAATAAATAAATAAATATATATATGAGTTTATAGTTATCAATATATAAATACTAATGCACATAAATATATAAATATAACAAACTTGTTAATCATAGATAATTTATCAACTTGTATTAAATCCTTTTTCATTTCATTAATTTCACTTTGTGAACTTAACAATTCTTCAGGTGAAAGTAAAGACTTTCTCGGGTTAATGATTTCAAGGTAAAAAGGTCGACCAGTTCCCAACATTCGCACATCAGCATCTTCACGACCTGATGCAACAAATATGTAACCTGAAGGGTTTTTAGGAGGGGGAAAAAAAGTAGTTACATAAATTAAATAAATTAAACAACGAATAAACAAAGCAACAAATTAAATTCTCTATTTACTGTCACACATAAACTTTTCTCGTAAAAGTTCCCCGATACATTCTGAAACAGAAGTTTCAGCTAGTCTAACATCATTAATAATCCATGGAGTTTGGCTCATTTCTCTGGAAAGCTTTAAATATCGACCTAATATTTCATCAATATAAATAAACGTATAGTAATAATTAGAACAAATGATTAGAATAATTTATGAAATAAATCACCTCCAACATAAACGGGATTATGTTCCAATATAATTGATTTTATTTGCCATTTATGCTGGATTGTTTTTGGCGGGTGTTCATCACAATATCTGTAAATTTTCAAAAGTTTTAAATAATATATAGTTAATAAATGTAATAATAAATAATAGTAACGGCGGTGATAGTAGTAGTAGTAGTAGTAGTAGTCACAGTAAGAATTAACAATACTTTATGAATTCATCATTAGAAATTTTTTTCAAGGAGTTATAAATATTCTGACGTGAATCACCTGATGTAAAAAATTTTCCCTGCGGTTTAAACCAAAAAAGAAATTTAATTAATTAATTAAATCAAGCAGTTTAGTTAATAACAAGAGGCATACATACATTCATATCATATTATTTATTATACCTTTACTCTTTTCTTCTTTATATTAAATTCTGCTGAAGGTATTTTTGTTAGAAATGTATGATTTTTTTGTGATTCTTCGTGAAAATATTCAACTGTTATTTTAAATGGGCTTTCGGTACGATATTCTAATTCTAATTGTTTTTCAATTGACCATCCTAACAAACATTTAAAAGCATCTTTTAAATTTGTAACTAAACTAAATGCAACTTCGATATTTTTTTCTCTAAATATAAAGTTATAATTATAATTTGAACGTCAAATATATCAATGAACATTAATATAAATAACTATACCTGAGCTTTTCCTTGATAAAAACTTCAACAGAGTGTTCTTTTACTAAAAGACCTGATGGCAATGTAATTGCCAAATTAAAGTCTTTAATTATATAATTATGTGCTCGAATCTTTTCACAAATAGGCAGAAAACACTCAAGAGTGTCAGAGTTATATAAAATGTCAAAACAGCTAACACAAATGGTTTTTTCAAAATCAGCATCATCATCATCACAAAATTCTATCTCAACATCATCACGTATACAATTAATAATTTTTAACAAAACCTAAAAAATATATATAATAATGCTTTATTCAATAATCTGTTCATTCACAAAGCGAGAAGACTTTAGAGTCAAATTTTACCTTCTCGGAAGCACAATAAGTCTTATAATCTTTAACATTCAAAAATCTCAAGATGCAACGAGCACAACACTTTAAATTTAATAAAATTTCAATTATCGTTTTTGTTACAATGTTACGTTGTACTTGTTGGATTATTTGATGGTAAAGAGCTTTTATGTCTAAAAAAACCATTGTGAGTTTGTATATATCCTTACATTTAAAGAAAATTTTATTAGTTTTATTATTACCATTAACATCTTCAAAGTTATAACGAATTCTTTTCCACCTATCAGATTCACTCGGTACAAGTGTTGTTGATAACAGAGCTAAATTTAAACAGAATTAAGGTTCAGATACTTAATATTTAAACCAATTAATAAAGATTTCAAACAATATTACCATGATCATGTTCCCAGATTCTTTTTGACATTTGATCTTTATCAAAAAAAAATCAATTTCGTGTAACAAAGATTTTAATAATAATGACTTGTATTTTCATGTTACCATGCCTGCCTACCTTTTCATATTAATATTAATATGGTGTAGAAACGACCCAAACGTCAAAAATCATGATTTTGAGCTAACTGCATTTCTACATGCAATTTACTACAGAGATTAATTTTAGCTTAGAAACCATGTCCACTTTGATTAATAAAATTTTGAGGTATTTTCTGTTAAAGTTCTTAAAAACAATAGGTAATTACTTGAAATGCAGATCTTTTTTTTCGATTATCTCAAAATCGTGATTTTGACGTTTGGGCTGTTTCTATTGTCCATGCCCCATTTATTATTAATTTAACGTAAGAAATCAACGAAATCAATCCAGTGCAACGTTCAATCTCTATTTCAGGGTTAATTGTTGATCATGACGGGAAGGGAGGAGAAAAGTCAACATGGCATGTTGATGTTGATTTTGATTGAGATGTTGAAAATCAAATTTTTGTTAAACTTGATTTTTGGGGAAGGAATTTTTATTTTTGAGAAATGTTAAATTGTAAATGTTCATTTTTTTTTTGTGTAAAAATTGACTTGGGGATCAATTTATTTTCTTTCCAAGATCGTAAGACCTTTCTGCTTTCAATGACACCTGATAATAATAATCTTCCGTTTTTTCTACTGTTAGTCTTTTAGCTTGTGTTTGATTTTCTCTCCTATCTTCTTCTGTGTTGAGACCAACATGAATTTAATAATAATTATTATTATTCACAAGAATAAGAAAGTATCAAATTTTTTTTTTGTCATGAAGGCAAAGAATGCATTATTGTCTTTATGTCTATTATACCGAGGTAAAATTGTTATATTTTAAAGAACTATTACAACCAATTAATGAAATAGATGTTAGCAAACAATTGTTATTTTTTTGATCAATTATATCTTAACAAACAATAAACCATACTTTTTCGGTTAACAAAACTATTGATTTCTTTGATAAATGAAGAACTATTACTTTTCTGATTAATTAATGATCAAGCTGTTGCTTTTTTCGATCAATTTAACAAAATAAATATTATTATTATGTTGATGTTTAAAATACTAGTGTTTTAAAAGACGATCCTAATTGTCATTCTAATGCTAAATTGGGAAGGAAATCGCCATGTTTAAATATATATTAAAAGGAATCTCAACGGACACTTTTAACTTTAACTCTCTAATTATTACCTTTACTGTTATTTATTTCAAAACACATATATTGATTGTTATCTTTTATATTTTATATTTTATAACTATCAAAAATATCACTATCATTATCATCGTCATTTTATTTTCTCAATTATTACCAAAAATGACTTCAATTTTTACTGCCTTCTGTTACATTTTGAATTGCAGGCTTATCAATGGAACCGCTACATACAGGAGTGATAAAGGAAGTCAAATTTATAGAGACATAATTTTCAAAGGATTTCCCAACCCTGACAAGTATAAGCAAAATAATCGTGCGAAAGGAAATTTACCATTTTGAAATTGATGGCAAGACAACAATTTCCTCTCCAAAATGCATTTGCTTTGACGGTTCACAAAACCCAAGGTTTAACCTTACCACACATAATGCTAAATGTTGACGAAAACATGTTTGCAGAAAGTCAAGTATACGTTGCGATGAGCCGAGCCAGGACCCTGGAAACTACATAGATAGATTACATTATTTTTGAGTAAATCAATATGTAAAAAAATTGAAAGGTCAGAGAAAATTTTGGGTAAATTAATATATATGGTTTAAAAGGTCATGACTTTTGTAGGGTAAAGAAAAAAATAGTTATGCTAGAAAATGGATAAAATTAAATATAAATATTTCAAATATTTTTATGTTGGTTCCATTTTGGGTAAATTATTAGGGGATAAATTTTAATATTAATATACATATGTGTATATTAAACTTAAATAATTTTTATGTAAATCAAGATCCTAAAAATATTTCATGTGATTCAGAAAATGTTAGTGAATTAATTAAAATTCCTGAGAATGAAAACTGTACTATATTATTGTTTGAAGATGAAAGCAAAGATGAAAGTGAGAATGAAGATGAGGACAATGAAAATGAGAATGAAAATGAGAATGTATGTAGAGACAGTAATAAATTGAGGTTAATGTTAATTCCCAAATAAATATTGTAGCTGAAACAAATGATGAAATAAATATTTCCTCAAGGAAATTAATTCTAAATTAGTTCAATGTATTTGTGGCAAATCAGTTAAATTGGATAGAGAATATAGAGAAAGGAATTTAATAAGTCATAATCAATGTGGTAAATGTGGCATCGTTTCTGACAAACAATTAAGTACAAAATCTTTTTTTAACAAAGCACTATTTTTGATGATGTTGATTCTACTAGAGTTGCTTGTTGTGGTTTATGTGATGAAAAAAAGAAATGATTTACTCTTGGAAAAGATTACCTAAAGAACATGATGAATTGATTGATAATTTGAGATGTCATGCTAAATGGATATTGGATAAAATTTCTTTATGTGAGTTAGGAGTTTGAATTGTCAAAACTTTACAATGAATAAATCAAACTAGTAATAATTGTGAGGTTTTATGTAGATGTAACACTTTAAATAAAGCAATCAATAAGGTGAACATTAATCTAACTGATTTAATTAATTTTTTAATTATTTAACTTATTATGTTCATTTATTTTAATATCA